AAAATGGCTGCTGCAAGAGGCGGAGCCAGACACAAAATGCGAGGGTATAGAGGACTCTAATACTAACTTGACAAAGTTGGAATCCAGTGGCACCACTGATACCAACAAAGTTTAATTCTGGGGATAAGCTTTCGTGTGCAGAATAAAGCTTTAGAACCGAGTTTGAGTCCAGTGGCACCTTTAAGACCAAGAAAGTTTAACGCTGGGTATAAGCTTTCCGTGCAGAATAAAACCTTAGAACAGAGTTTGAGTCCAGTGGCACCTTTTAGACGAAAGAAAGTTTAATACTGGGGATAAGCTTTCATGTGCAGAATAAAACTTCAGAACAGAGTTTGAGTCCGGTGGCACTTTTAAGACCAAGAAAGTTTAATTCTGGGTATAAGCTTTCATGTGCAGAATAAAACTTTAGAACAGAGTTTGAGTCCAGTGGCACATTTAAGAGTTAAAAAGTTTAATTCTGGGTATTAAGATCAAGAAAGTTTAACTCTGGGTATAAGCTTTCATGTGCAGAATAAAACTTTAGAACAGAGTTTGGGTCTAGTGGCACATTTAAAACCAACAAAGTTTAATTCTGGGTATAAACTTTTGTGTGTAGAATAAAACTTCAGAACATACCTTGAGTCCAGTGGCAGCTTTAAGATCAAGAAAGTTTAACGCTGGGTATAAGCTTTTCGTGCAGAATAAAACCTTAGAACCAGAGTCTGAGTCCAGTGGCACCTTTTAGACGAAAGAAAGTTTAATTCTGGGTATAGGCTTTTGTGTGCACAGACACTGAAGTTTGATGCCTTTTAATCTGTACAGCCAATTCCTGATAACATTACACAATTGTGGGTTTTTTCCTAGGGTCCCCTCAACAGCAAACGTCTTTTAAACTACCGCAGGACAAGCAGATTCAGTTCAAACAATGCAAGTGGAGATGTTCTTTCAGCCCTGCACAATGGCAGGGGGGCGTGCAAAGGGGTCCTTCGCATGGGTTGTTAAAAGGGGAATCCCTCTTTGAAACGGTGAGGGTGGGGGGCTCTTTCATCACTCTCCTTTCCCCGGGGTGGTAAGTAGTAGCAAGATATTTCTGCAGCCGCCTCCTGTCCTTTGTGGAGATCTTTTCAACTGGCTCAGCCTGCGCAGACTCCTTGGGGGAAAACCCTGCGTGAGGCTGTGCAAGTCAAAACAGCCGAGAGTCTACCAGCACCTTAAAGAAAGGGCAGGCCTAGAAACCTTACCATCCAAAGAAAATCCCAGGGAAGAGTATGCAACAATATGCTTGTAATCCTAAACACCCTTACTTGAAATTAAACCCTGTGTAGCTCGGTGGTATTGAGAAGAAGAAGAAGAGGAAGAAGAAGAGGAAGAGGAAGAAGAAGAAGAGGAAGAAGAGGAAGAAGAAGAAGAGGAGGAGATTGGGTTTATACCCCGCCCTTCACTACTCAAAGGTGTCTCAGACCAGCTCACAGAATCCTTTCCCCCTCCCCTAGGGTTGCCAACTCCTAATTTCTTACCGGCGGGGGACCGTCCGCTTGGTCCGGGAGCTGCTTGGCGAAGTGTGCGCGCGTGCGCGAAGCGCGCGCGCGCTGCCAGGACATCACCGGAAGTGACGTCACACGCTGGGCGGGGCCACGTCGTTTGAGGGGAAAACAAAGAGTTTTCCCCTCAAATGGCTGCCATTTGAGGGGAAAACTCTTTGTTTTCCCCTCAAACGGCGTGGCTCCGCCCCCAGCGTGCGACGTCACTTCCGGTGACGCGCACGCGGGGGTGGGGTTTCCCCCGGGCCCCGATTCCGGCGCGCCGGGAATCGGGGCTCCAAAACGGGGGATTCCCCGCCCCCCGGCTGCATTTGGCAGCCCTACCCTCCCCACAACATACACCCTGTGAGGTAGGTGGGGCTGAGAGAGCTCTTGACAGAAACGGCTCTTTTTCAAGGACAGCTCTTATCAGAACTACGGCTTACCCAAGGACATCCAGCAGCTGCAAGTGGAGGAGTGGGGAATCAAACCCGGTTCTCCCAGATTAGAGTCCGCGCACTTCACCACTACACCGAACTGGCTCTGGTCAGAGTCAACCAACGTTCCCTTGAAGCCGTGGAGTCTTGTGAGCAAAAATTCTACTTTGTGAGCTCCTGGCATTAAAGCCGTGAGCGGGCGATTTGGCTGCTGCATCAATCAATTTGCTCTGGAGCCCTCCTTCCAGAGCTAAGGCAAAAATGTGTGAGCCGGAGGCTAAAAAACTGCGAGCTAGCTCACACCGACTCAGCTTAGAGGGAACACTGGAGTCAACATGAGAAGGACCTCCTGGCACAATCAGCTGACCTTTTCCATCTCCTCAAAAAAACAAAACCCAGCTGGAGGAGACCTTGGATGGCTGGGAAGGAGTGAGAGGAGGGGGCCCCTTGGCTCTCCTACCACAGAGGGGCTGCTTGGCCACCAGGCGCGGCTTCAGGAAGAAGGGAGAAAGCTGGGGAGGGGACATGCTTCAGTTGCAGTGCCGGTGGCTTGGTGTGCAAAACTGGGGAACGGAAATCTCATTCCCTGGCTACTCTCCTTTGCACGCTTCCTGAGAGAACATGAGGACATCAACCCTGCTGAATCAGACCTGGGAGGGTCCCTCTAGTCCAGCCTCCTGCCTCACACAGGGGCCAGCCAGTTCCCCTGGAGGGCCAACAACAGGGCAGAGAGGCCGAGGCCTTCCCCTGAGGAGAACCTCAGAAGAACCCTGCTGAGTCAGACCAGGGAGGGTCCCTCCAGTCCAGCCTCCTGCCTCACACAGGGGCCAGCCAGTTCCCCTGGAGGGCCAACAACAGGGCAGAGAGGCCGAGGCCTTCCCCTGAGGAGAACCTCAGAAGAACCCTGCTGAGTCAGACCAGGGAGGGTCCCTCCAGTCCAGCCTCCTGCCTCACACAGGGGCCAGCCAGTTCCCCTGGAGGGCCAACAACAGGGCAGAGAGGCCGAGGCCTTCCCCTGAGGAGAACCTCAGAAGAACCCTGCTGAGTCAGACCAGGGAGGGTCCCTCCAGTCCAGCCTCCTGCCTCACACAGGGGCCAGCCAGTTCCCCTGGAGGGCCAACAACAGGGCAGAGAGGCCGAGGCCTTCCCCTGAGGAGAACCTCAGAAGAACCCTGCTGAGTCAGACCAGGGAGGGTCCCTCCAGTCCAGCCTCCTGCCTCACACAGGGGCCAGCCAGTTCCCCTGGAGGGCCAACAACAGGGCAGAGAGGCCGAGGCCTTCCCCTGAGGAGAACCTCAGAAGAACCCTGCTGAGTCAGACCAGGGAGGGTCCCTCCAGTCCAGCCTCCTGCCTCACACAGGGGCCAGCCAGTTCCCCTGGAGGGCCAACAACAGGGCAGAGAGGCCGAGGCCTTCCCCTGAGGAGAACCTCAGAAGAACCCTGCTGAGTCAGACCAGGGAGGGTCCCTCCAGTCCAGCCTCCTGCCTCACACAGGGGCCAGCCAGTTCCCCTGGAGGGCCAACAACAGGGCAGAGAGGCCGAGGCCTTCCCCTGAGGAGAACCTCAGAAGAACCCTGCTGAGTCAGACCAGGGAGGGTCCCTCCAGTCCAGCCTCCTGCCTCACACAGGGGCCAGCCAGTTCCCCTGGAGGGCCAACAACAGGGCAGAGAGGCCGAGGCCTTCCCCTGAGGAGAACCTCAGAAGAACCCTGCTGAGTCAGACCAGGGAGGGTCCCTCCAGTCCAGCCTCCTGCCTCACACAGGGGCCAGCCAGTTCCCCTGGAGGGCCAACAACAGGGCAGAGAGGCCGAGGCCTTCCCCTGAGGAGAACCTCAGAAGAACCCTGCTGAGTCAGACCAGGGAGGGTCCCTCCAGTCCAGCCTCCTGCCTCACACAGGGGCCAGCCAGTTCCCCTGGAGGGCCAACAACAGGGCAGAGAGGCCGAGGCCTTCCCCTGAGGAGAACCTCAGAAGAACCCTGCTGAGTCAGACCAGGGAGGGTCCCTCCAGTCCAGCCTCCTGCCTCACACAGGGGCCAGCCAGTTCCCCTGGAGGGCCAACAACAGGGCAGAGAGGCCGAGGCCTTCCCCTGAGGAGAACCTCAGAAGAACCCTGCTGAGTCAGACCAGGGAGGGTCCCTCCAGTCCAGCCTCCTGCCTCACACAGGGGCCAGCCAGTTCCCCTGGAGGGCCAACAACAGGGCAGAGAGGCCGAGGCCTTCCCCTGAGGAGAACCTCAGAAGAACCCTGCTGAGTCAGACCAGGGAGGGTCCCTCCAGTCCAGCCTCCTGCCTCACACAGGGGCCAGCCAGTTCCCCTGGAGGGCCAACAACAGGGCAGAGAGGCCGAGGCCTTCCCCTGAGAAGGACACCAGAAGAGCCCTGCTGGATCAGGCCACAAAGGCCGAGGCCTTCCCCTGATGCACGGTGTATTCAGAGGCTGTCACTGAACAGGGAGCTTTAAGCCCCACTGAGCTCTGCAAGATTTACAGAGAGGGAAGCAGGCCGAGATCTGGTCTGCTGACCAAGCTCCAACTGGGATCACATTCTGGTAGTTTTTTGGGTGCCTGGGGTTCCCCGGTTCCCCCTGGGCCTGTCCTGGGGTTGCCAGATCCAGTTTGGGGGACTCCAGGAGATGTGGGGATGGAGCCTGGGGAGGACAGAGACCTCACTGGGGCGCAGTGCCACAAACTCCCCCCTCCAAAGCAGCCATTTCCTCCAGGGGAACTGTCGTCCAGAGATGAGCTGGGGGAAGGCAAGAGGCCTCGGGGAGGCCCCATAGAGAGCCAGCTGCAGTCTTTGCCAAGGGCCGTTGGTGGGGAAAGAGCTTCAGCGGGGGAAACCTTTCGGGTCTGCAAACCCGGACAGGCCATTCCCACCCAAACATTTTCCTTTTTTCAAGAGACCCGAGCAGCAGCGATTGAAAAGGTTTTCTTCAAGCCAAGTGGAAGCCCAAAGCAGCCCTGGGGGGTGAAGAAGCAGCCCTGCAAAGGTTACAAAAACCCAGAGAAGCCCCCCCCTGGGGTTGGGGGAGGGATGAGCAAAGAAGCAGGAGACTTAAAACTTACCTTTGCTGGCCGCCCAAGCGAAGGAGACTCCTTGCAAGAGCACAGGCGCCCAGAGCATCTTCGGGCAGGTGAAGAGAAGCGAGGGCTAGAGGTGCAGTGGGGAAGATGGGGATGCCCGTCTGCGGCTGGTCCTCCGCCTAGGCCAGGAGGGTCAGTCTTCTCTGACCCCCCCCCCCAGCCCCAGCTCCCCCTCCCTTGCAGAGGAGTCAGGAGGTTCCCAAAAACCAGCCGGGCAAAAAGAGAAGCAAAGTGTCTTTTTAAGGTGGCCCTGGACAGGGAACGGAGGCAGGCTGCCCAGGGACGGAGGGCTCAGCGCCTTAAATACTTCCCAGCCACAAGTGCTGGGAGTCCCAGCAGTGTTTGGAGAGGGGGGCGGGAGGGGGGGGGCCTGGCATTTGGCTGGCGTTCAGGGCTGTGCAAGCCAAGCCGCTTGGCACGCTCCGTGGCGGTCATCTGTAGCTTTCACGGAGGGCGAAAAGGAAAGGAGCACACCGAGGCATGGGTTTCTCCGCAGTGGGAGAGGCAGCGCGGCCTAGTGATTAAAGCACTGATTGGGGGGGGTCCTGGCTCTCCCAGCTCCACATCCCCCTCTTTGCCGTGAAACTCGTTGGGTGACCTTGGGCCGGTCACTCTTTTCCGGCCTGACCTACCTCACTGGGTTGTTGTGAGGACAAAGGGGAGGAAGGGAGAGATCCGTGAAGGCTATACTCTGAGCTCCGTGAAGTTCGATCCAGGTGGGCCGCCGTGTTGGTCCGAAGCAACAGAACAGAGTTCGAGCCCAGTGGCACCTTTAAGGCCCACAAAGTTTGATTCTGGGTATAAGCTTTCGTGTGAATGCACACGAAAGCTTATACCCAGAATTAAACTTTGTGGGTCTAAAAAGTTGCCATTGGACTCAAACTCTGTGTTAAGTGTTATTTAGTCCACTTCTGACTTATAGTGACCCTATGAATTGCTGACCTCCATAATAGCCTGTCATTAACAGCCTTGTTATTCTTCTGGAAGAAGAAGAAGAAGAAGAAGAAGAAGAAGAAGAAGAAGAAGAAGAAGAAGAAGAAGAAGAAGAAGAAGAAGAAGAAGAAGAAGAAGAAGAAGACTGGAAACTACAAGGGAGTCGTTACCGGCTAAATATCAGGAGAAACTTCATTCCTAACTACGAGAGTGGTTGAGCAGTGGAACAGACTGCCTCGGGAGGTGGTGGGTGCTCCTTCGCTGGACGTTTTCAAGCGGAGGCTGGACAACCCTCTTTCAGGTATGTTGTAGGGCTCTCTTTCGACTGTGCTCCTGCAGAGTGCAGGGGGTTGGACTAGATGACCTGCAAGGTCCCAGTTCCAACTCTAACATTCTATGATTCTACGAAGAAAAAAAAGAAGAAGAAGTAGAGGAGGAGGAGGAGGAGATTGGGTTTATACCCCTGGCCCTTCACTACCCAAAGGTGTCTCAGAGCGGCTTACAAACTCCTTTCCCTTCCCCTCCCCACAACAGACACCCTGTGAGGCAGGCAGGGCTGAAAGAGCTCTTGACAGAAACTATTATTTTTCTTTCTTTTTAAAAAATTTTTAAAAATTTATTAAGAAGCTTCAACAAATAACAATAACAAAATAAATTGCGTAACCAACATTTGAGCCACAGGAAGAGTAAAAAACAACAGAGAAGCTGCTCTTTTTCAAGGACAGCTCTGACAGATCTATGGCTTGCCCAAGGTCATCCAGCAGCTGCGAGTGGAGGCCTGGGGAATCAAATCCGGTCCCCCCAGATTAGAGTCCACGCACTTAACCACTACACCAAACTGGCTCTTCGGAGCTTCCTTTAAAAATATATATCTTATCATGTCTTTTGTTCAAAAAATAAAACAAGAAAAAAAAGAATAAAAATGGGGGAAATCCAGCAGAAATTAATTTTTAAGGGGGGAAAAGAGGGGGGGATATATATATATATACACATAGAATAGAAATGAACATATAACACCAGTGAGGTCAGATCTACACATAACTTTCTATAAACAGTTTCCAGACGTATCAAGAGAACTCCATACATAACTGTTGTCTATCTGCTATTCTTTTCAGATATTGATAAAGTCGAAGACCGGAGACGGACATGTATCTTTCCAGTGTTAACAGTTGTTGTTCAGCTGTAGTATTGGCACAGAAGGGCCATTTTCATTGGCTGTTGGTTAGCCTCCAAGAGATCACTTAAAAGTACACAAACAATCCAATTTGTCTCCTGTTGGGTCTTCCTCTTTTCCTGGCGGAAAGGCAGCAAGTAATTGAGCCACACTGGAAGCCCCGGGATTGTGTCACTCTGACATTCATGACTTCCTTTCATGGCTCAGCCCTGGAACTTATCATTCAAGACCAGCCCTGCGGTCTGCCAGGAAATGGCAGCAAGAGGGTTGCTGAGCATGTGCAGAGGACACTTGCTTCCCTAGTGGCGGCTACAAGCACGGACGGCTTGAAGAGGGAATTGGATCAACATCTGGATCAGAGGTCCATCCGTGGCTCTTAGCCACAAGGTATAGATAGGAACTCTCAGTCTGGGGCAGGTGATGCTCTGTCTTCTTGGTGCTTGGGGGTGGGGGGGCAACAGAGGGAGGGCTTCTGGTGTCCCGGCCCCACTGCTGGACCTCCTGAGGGCCCCTGGTATTTCTGGCCACTGTGTGACACAGAGTGTTGGACTGGAATGGGCCATTGGCCTGATCCAACATTGGCTCCTGTTGTGTGCTTATGTTAAGAGCAGAGGTCCATCGGTGGCTATAAGCCACAAGGTGTAGATAGGGGCTCTGGGGCAAGGGATGCTCTGTATTCTTGGTGCTTGGGGGGGGCAATGGTGGGAGGGCTCCTAGTATCCTGGCCCCACTGCCGGACCTCCTGATGGCCCCTGGTATTTCTGGCCACTGTGTGACAGAGTGATGGACTGGATGGGACATTGGCCTGACCCATCATTGGCTTCTCTTTATGATCTTATGTTCGTATGTATGCTTCCCTGACACTGCAGTCCCTCCAAACCGGCCA